TGGGAGCTACATGCCTTAATTTTGCGTTGATGTAATTTTTACAGGCACGTTTCTCTGCTATTACAGCATGGAGTGGCTTGAAAGTGTCATGAAAGTGTACATTAAATATATGATCTGTGCAAAACATCTTTAATAAATCACTAACTTTTCACTCAATTTATTTTTTCAGAATTTGCATGGAAGATTAATGATGTGTCATGTTCTGCTTCCTCCCTGGTGTGACTCTAACAAGCTAAATAAACCTGGTGCTCGTTGGTCTCACCTCATGTTCCAGCCCTCATATTAACCACTCCCAGCTGCCTCTTGTCTGTTCCCTCATTAGTCCTGTATTTAAGTGCTTCCCGATCCTGTGTTGCCCAGTTCCATCATTGCCATTCTGCCCCGCTGTTGTCTGCGCTCTGTCTTGATTCTCAGGTTGCCTGTTGTTTTCCCTGCTTGGTTCTTTTGAGTTTGAATAAAGCCCCTTTTGTTGTGCTCCCCACCTCACCTGCTCCCCTGCCCTTCGTCCTGGTCTCACAACATGATGTGCACTTTGACAACATTTCCATGTCATGAATGTCTGATATTAACCCCGTCTAATCCCCTCGTTTCCCCTCAGACGTGGCTTTAAACAGCTGCCTTGTGTTCGCTCCTTTGTTAGTCAGGTACATTAGCCATATTTCCCTTGCATAGGTGCACTTACGTTACGATACATGGAATCAATACAGAAAATGCGTAGCGACCATGACGTGTACACATACGCGTTGTGAGTGTCGAGTATAAATCGGCTGTAACCTGTCAACGTGTGTGAACCCGACCTGTTTGTCTTAATAAACACCCCCTATGTACGGTTTTGTTTGAACGCAGTCTGCATTTGGGTCGTGCCTTGTTTGATGAGGCGACAAGAATCTGCGTTCAACAGCCTTGATAATGGATATGTTAATGGAAACAGTGTCAGAAATCACGGTCAGAAATTCAGTCCCACTCCGGCCCTGACTACTTTGCTCCTATTACTTCACTTGCTCCAAATCAGACATATAATTCAGCATATCAGACAACACAGTGAACCTCTTCGTTTCAGTGGTTATTATTAAAAGCCAAAATATCATATAGGAACCAGTATATTGCATTGCAGACTGAACCCTTTAACCCTTAAACAGAGAAGTATTAGCCTGCCCTTGGTGTAGCTTAGTACTGAAAACCCTTTAACACGGACATTTGTCCCGTGTTGATGCAGAAAAATGCATGTTTACACTTTATGGTGCCTAAAAACAGGTATTTTTACCGTGTCTAGAGCAAGGTTCTAGCTATGGAATCATCACTGGGGGAGACCAAGGCTGTAATTATAATATATACTGAGGGGGACAATGTTAGCACATCTGAATACTGGGGGGGACGTGTTCACGCCTACACCGTGAACCATAAGCCATCTCCGACCTCTCATTTCTTTTATGAGAAATGAATACAACAAAAAAACAATCCCCTATGTGACAGATGACAACTCAGACAAAAAAATAGTAAGCTNACGTGTGTGAACCCGACCTGTTTGTCTTAATAAACACCCCCTATGTACGGTTTTGTTTGAACGCAGTCTGCATTTGGGTCGTGCCTTGTTTGATGAGGCGACAAGAATCTGCGTTCAACAGCCTTGATAATGGATATGTTAATGGAAACAGTGTCAGAAATCACGGTCAGAAATTCAGTCCCACTCCGGCCCTGACTACTTTGCTCCTATTACTTCACTTGCTCCAAATCAGACATATAATTCAGCATATCAGACAACACAGTGAACCTCTTCGTTTCAGTGGTTATTATTAAAAGCCAAAATATCATATAGGAACCAGTATATTGCATTGCAGACTGAACCCTTTAACCCTTAAACAGAGAAGTATTAGCCTGCCCTTGGTGTAGCTTAGTACTGAAAACCCTTTAACACGGACATTTGTCCCGTGTTGATGCAGAAAAATGCATGTTTACACTTTATGGTGCCTAAAAACAGGTATTTTTACCGTGTCTAGAGCAAGGTTCTAGCTATGGAATCATCACTGGGGGAGACCAAGGCTGTAATTATAATATATACTGAGGGGGACAATGTTAGCACATCTGAATACTGGGGGGGACGTGCCATCTCCATCTCCGACCTCTCATTTCTTTTATGAGAAATGAATACAACAAAAAAACAATCCCCTATGTGACAGATGACAACTCAGACAAAAAAATAGTAAGCTAACTGTCATCCTTTGGTAATTAAATTCAATTAAACCTGCAGCTAAAACAGTAAGAGAACACCTTTCAAATTAGCCGTTTCATTTCTGTGTGTTAAATAGTAAAGCTAAATTCTGGTACCTACCGGAAATGCACCATACTGTGACTGAAATAGTAAAGAAGGTCATTTTGTTAATAATACAAACAGTTATTCATATTCATTAGAAGCAAACACAATTGTAGTGTTTCTTTAGTTCACTTTTTTGTATTTGCCTCTCCAATATGATTTCCCTTGTTGTAAATGGTTCATTTTGTTTTTCATAGAGTTCTCTTCCCAGTTGCCCTAAGGCGTCTCATGACATCTAACGACAGCACTGCAGAGCGCCACTGCACTCCTTCAGTTAGCATTGCTAGCGTGTGAATACTTACAGGAAAAGCTTGTGGAGGAGGACAGTAAGACTAAAAGAGAGGGACCAAAGAAACACGACTTTTAGTAAGTCTGGTCAATGACCCAACACATAAACTCTGAAAATAAAACCGTTTTAACAATAACATGCCCAAAGAAGGTTTCAAATTTCAGAAAAAGGCAGCGGTGAGCTGAACCAAAATGGTCATTTTTTAAAATTAAACCAAGTTATGAAAGCATGTGAGTATTGCATGAAACCACTGCCTTCGCATGATACACCAGTTTTGTCTGCACGCTGCCATACGTGAAATTGCCCTTAAGTTTATACATTTGAGAATTATTAAAGTGCAAAAGTGTCAGGTGATCCACGACAACCAAAGCATTGACACTAAGTCAGGGAAGCCCAAATCCAGTCCTAGAAGGCCGGAGCCCTGTGTAGCTTAGTTCTTTCTCTGTTCCACCACAAATGATTCAGCTCAAGAGATGTGTGATAATTAGCAGAAAGAGTTGAATCAGGTGTATTAAACGATTCAAAAAATGTGCAGAGTTTGACACCTCTGCTTTAAGTCAATCCTGACAATGCAGTATAAGTCATTTTCATTTTCTTGGGCAACATAAGTTAATCATTTTGATCGTGTGCGTTTTCAGTAAACTCATTCCAAGTTGAAACATACAGGAAATGCTTGCTGTGGTGGCATATATGGAGCCTGCAGAGGGAAAAAACACCATTAGCATTTAATGTTACGCAACATTTCTTTTCAGATCCTACAAATTCATTCAATGTGCAGCTAGTCTTGTTCAGTAATTTTCAGGTTGCCACTTGCCTGTTGGCTCACCATGGGATTTTGGAAGCTGATGGAGGCCAGCTCAACTCCACCATCCACTGCGATGGTGTCCATTTGACTGAAGGGGATACGGTGATTAAATTCCATGAAGTGGTTCCCATTGGCTATTAACTGAGGATGAAGTAATTACACTAATTACAGTTGACCTTGAGGTCTATTTATTTGATTTCATGAAATAAAACCAAGTAATATCAGTACTTTAAGGCATTTT